CAAAAGAGCTCTTGAATGCAAAAGGAAAAAATAGTAGTATGACATTGAAGTAAAGTGGGAATATGGGAAGTAAACTGCAAAAAGTCCCTCTGTGTAGTCTCTAAATAGCAAAAAAACCATGTGACAAATAAACTAGTAAAAACCCCCATGTGAAATTTAGTCAAAGCCAAAAAACACCCCGGTTGACTTAAGTGTGGTTCACTCGCGGGTTGCGCGTCTGGTAGTTGGTTTTTGGACGTGAAATGTCAAAATTGAACCTAAAAATGTATTTATATGTATATATATTATATGTATATATATTTTCCTTTTAATTTGATTGTTTTGAAATTAAAATATTGTTAAAAAATAGTAAATAATTAAATTTAAAAATTATTAAAAAAAAATAATCAAATTAAGTATAGATTTTTTTAAATACATAATAACGGAACTTAAGTTTTCTTTTGATGTAGCGAAAATTTAAAATATATACAAAAATTATGTGATAATAAAAATAAATTAAAGACCCATTATACCTTTATAATTAGGGAAAATTTGACAAACCCCCCTCATCACACAACTGTAGTTACAACAGACCCAAATTTATTTCACATTTTTAAGATAAATTCAAAATAATTTTTATTAATAAAAAATAATTTATTTTCCCCATTATACACCACACTATATTCTATCTAAATATTGTGAGATATATATATATATATATATATATATATATATATATATATATAGATATATATAGATATATATATATATATATAACTAAAATTAATGTTAATTATTTTCATCGATTCATTGATTTGAAATCTACTTTCTCTCACACACACTCACTCTCTCTCTCTCTCTCACTCTCTCTCACACACACACACACTATTACGGCAATGAATATCAGCAAACTTCATCTGCACCGGTTGCATTATAATGGCAATGGCAATGGTGGCTTCCTCAGCCTTGTCGCCGCCACCGTTCCATGATCCGACTTCTCCGATTTCTCATCATCGCAGATTTGAGATTACCCGACTCACGTTTTCTCCTCCATCTGATGTGGCGGCGGCGGTGCCGCCAATGTTAGAAAGAGGTGGCGGAGCTGCATTTGCCAATCCCGAAGCAATGCTCACATGAGAGAACTGCTCATCCAGCCCAGCCGACTGATTGCAACCTCAAGTTCTCACCTTGATGGGCGGCACATTTGCCATTGACGGCGACGAAGAGCTCGTCACCACCAGAAAGACTTCCTGAGCGGTATTAGCCTTGCCAACAACCTGTTGCTTAACGAAAACCACTCTGCAATTATAGAGTGGTTTTTGTTAATTGATAAGTTTATAGTTAATTTTTGTAATGAAATTTGTTAATTAAATTGTGATTTTCATTAATTACACAGCGGTTTCATTAATTGCAGAGTGGTTTTCGTTAATTGATAATTTTTTACTGAATTTTTGTAATAAAACTCGTTAATTACATAGTGATTTTCGTTAATTACAGAGTGGTTTTCATTAATTATAGTGTGGTTTTTGTTAATTGATAAGTTTATAGTGAATTTTTGTAATAAAATTTGTTAATTACATGATTTTCATTAATTACATAGTGGTTTTCATTAATTGCAGAGTGGTTTTCGTTATTGATAAGTTTTTTTCTGAATTTTTGTAATGAAACTCGTTAATTATATAGTGATTTTCGTTAATAATAGAATGGTTTTAATTAATTATAGAGTGGTTTTTGTTAATTGATAAGTTTTAGTGGATTTTTTTAATGGAGTATGCTAATTACATAGTGATTTTCGTTAATTTACATAGTGGTTATCATTAATTACAGAGTGGTTTTTATTAATTACATAGAGATTTTCGATAAGTTTATAAGGGATTTTCGTAACAGAATATTATAATCACATAGTGGTTTTTTGTAAGTTTATAGTGAATTTCAATTTGTAAAAAATAATTTTTATTTTAATAAATTTAACTATAAAAAAAAGATGTATAAAAACAATCATTTTTTTGGATGTGATAAATGTCGTTCGAGCTTTAATAATACCGCTACGAATTCAGACGTGATTTTGATCATTTTTAACTCCAAATTTACAAAACCCAAAAAATAGAATTTGTAGTATTCTGAGTTAGTTTTCTAATCCAACTTAAATCACCAAAATTGGATGTCAGACGAGAAAGATATACATGAATTGGGGTATCTAAATTTCAAAATGTGACTCATTTATGCATAACTTTGTCACACGGCATCCAATCTAGCGGATTTAAGTTGGATTAGAAAGCTAACCCAAAGGACTACAGTTTTCGTGTTTCGAATTTTGCCAAATTCAAAATAGAAATATATCGTAATCAAGTTCGAAGTCAAAACGACATTAGTAAAATTGAAACGACATTTAACATTTCAGTTTAAAAAATAACAAAAATACGACAAACTTAAACATAAATAAAAAAAAACCAATTAATTAATTAACTAATTGAAGGAGAAAGAGGCGTGATAGGAGATAATAGGGGATGGTGGGGAGAAAATAGGGGGATTTGCAATAAAATAATGGATTTTTTAAAATAATATTATATGGAAATTTTATGTAATATTAAATAGGGGTATTTTGGATAATTTGAGCCAATTGGATTTATAACAAATATCAATTAAAAAAATTGGATTTATCAAGAAGTCAAATTTCAACAAAGGGTGTTTGACAAATACCCCCTTATAATTAAGATATAACACAAATAAAATAATTAGAATACTTAAAAAATATAAGAATTTATTAATTGCAAAATTTAAGGGGTATTTGTGTCTTTTAATATGAAATCAACCTTCAAATGATAAAAGGGCCGAGTGTGCTATTTAAATAATTTTACAGGGGGGTTTTTGCTAGTTTATTTTCTCATAGAGGGGTTTTCGCTATTTAGAGATTACACAGGGGTACTTTTTGCAGTTTACTCAGAATATGGGATCGAAAAAAAAAATGCTAAAAAAAGAGCATGCCATAAATTGATAAAAATGTGTTTTTCATCAATTGGAGGCGCCAGAAAGTTAATGATGGTGCATTTTGCCAAGCAAATGCTAATTGGAGGGTGGAAAGTGTCAAATTTGCAATTTAAGGGTGCAATAAGTATCAAATTCTAACAACTATGATTTTTATCCAGCCTACGCAAGTTTGTCAAATTAAATCAATTAAACAATTAAACTAATTATGAAAGCAAATAAACACGAGAAAATATCAATAAAACGGACCTAGGATTTTATCTTCCCCCTATGCAAGAATTGCTCACCCAAAACCCCTCAATTATGAAATATATGATTCATGATTATTAACCCGAGACACTAATTTACTCATAACCCCCTGTCGCGTGTATTATGAGTCTATTATTCATAAACGGTTCACTATATATCTATGCAAACAAATTATGAATAAAACATTAACTGACAAGTCTCGTAAATGGCTACCTAAGGTGATATCTGTATGTCTACGACACCACATGCAATTGACACACTCATCCGGTGAAAACTACTCGAAGGGTCTTATACTTACCGTCTAATTATCAAATAGCTCTGTCGAGTCAATCCCAATAATCACAGATAAAGCACATAAATTGATCAAGTTCATGCACTAACAATCATAACAAGTATAAGAAATAATCATAAAATCATAATTGCATAATCTCAAGAAAACGGGTTCACCATCCCCACATAGGGTTCCAACAAAATTCTAGATTAAAAACTTAGCTACTCATGTTCTCAGCAAAAAACATAATAAAAATATAAAAAGACATAGATTAAGAAAAGATAGATAAAAGAAGAATTGTGATGAAGATTTGTCAATTCTCCGTCTTCGATTCTTCGTTCTCTCCCTCCAAGCTTGTGTCAAAAGTCCTTTAATTCGTGCTTGGTTTGCCCTTAAATAGATGTCCCAACTTGGTAGATGATTCTAGGTTTCCTTGTGTGATTAAAAGTCCAAAATTGTCTCCAGCGTGTTTTGGCGCGGCCGCGCGAAAATCAGTCAAAATCTCACACGGCCGTACGAGAATCGCCGAAACCTTATGCCCAACTTCTGCAGTTGGCACGGCCGTGCCAAAAATAGGCTCAATTTGGCACGGCCGCGCGGACATTTTTCAGCCAATTTTCAGCATTTTTGTTTTCTCGTTTTTGAACTTTTTTGGCTCGTTTCGTCCTTGGAACTTCTAAATTGTCAAGTTGTACCTAAAATACAATAAACCACTCATTAAGCATCATTAAATCAATAAAAGTATACAAAAAATCCTCGTAAGAAAGTATACATTGAGTGTAAAATATACACTCAACAGTGCACACAGTGCCAATTACCCCATTTTAAAACAAATGTTTGAAATACCATCGTTTATGTTTGTGGTAAACACTTTTTTGGTAGAAAATACACATACCCAAATACTTGTGAAATTCGTGATTATAATGACTAGATTCTAATGAATATGTTTTTGTAGATCGCCTCTTTCATCTTGTGACATATCTTCCTATAGATTGACTGTTAAAAAACGAAATTTGGCCAGTTTTTCCGTTCCTTTCATTATGAACGACATAATAATAAACTTAATATTTTTCTGAAATGAAAAGGTTATAAATTTGATATATTTCAATTACTGATCTCTTGGTTTCTGCACATCGGCAACTTGGCCAAACATCCTTTTGGCTCGACAACATCCTTTTGGAGATTTGTCAGATCAATAATATTAAAAATATAGGTTCAAAATCACCACATGGATTCCAACAAAATCCTGGATGAAAAATTAGCTACTACTTAATCCTACGAAAAAATCATAAAAATACAAAAGAGCATAGTTCTAAAGAAGAGAAGAAAATGATGTTGGAGATTTGTCAGATCTCCGCCTTGTTCGTAGTTGTCTTCTTGTTCTTTTGTGCCCAATTTTTGTCCCCCTTAATGTTGTAAGAAATTGTTGCTTTTATAGGTCTTTCTTGATAAGAAAGTATTAGAAACTTAATAGGACTCAAATTTGATAGGTGACAATTACCAACGACATCACACGTAGATGATAAACAAGTAGGCAATAGCCATATCTGCACCAACATGCGTACATGTGTATCGGTGAAATCAAAATTCATAGTAAAATTACATAACAATAACACATTACTTAGCAATAAAATCACAGAAACGGAACGAAAGCACCGCAACAATTATTATTCGTAACCAACGTACGTGTGACTAATCATATAGGTCTGAAACAGATAACCGAGGACTTGGAACAACAATCAGCGGTGTACCTTTCCTTAGGACAATCCCAAACGCCTCCGACATATCAAGTGTTTCCCCTTGTCCTAATTTCCAATCGAACGAATGGAAAAATGAAGCCAACAAATACATCAGCATTCTCTCCGCAAGGGGCATCCCGGCACAAATCCTTCTTCCCGATCCAAACGGTAAATAATGAAAATAGTTACCTCTATAATCACATTTCTCAATCGTGTCGTCAAGAAATCTCTCCGGCCGAAATTCCAATGGCTTGTCCCAAATCGAAGGATCTCTTTGGATAGACCGAACATTTATAAAGACCGTAGTACCCTTCGGGATTGTATATCCTCCGACGGTGGAAGATTGCGAAGTAGACCTTGGAATCAAGAGAGGTATTGCTGGATGTGACCTCATGATAAGACATATTATTTATTATATTATTTAGTTAATTGTTTAGTTAATATTTTATTATTAATTAATTAGATTAGTATATTTATGATAATATATGGCCGTGAGTTTTGTATTTAGGAGATTATTTAGTATTTTATTAGTTTAGGTAATTATGTTTTCTAGTTAGATTAGGATTCTAGGGTTTTCTTATATTTAAATAGTCGTCTTGTGCCAGGGTTTTATTATGCAGAGAAATAATAAAGAAGAGTTTTCTTACGTTTAGTAAAGAAATCTTATGATACTCGAGAGATCGCATCAATTGGTATCAGAGCGAAGTTGCGATTAACACCAACGCTTCGTTAGCAAAGCAGCGATTATATCAAAGCTAAGTTGGAGCAAAGTTGAGATTACATCAATACTTTGCGAAATTATGCCGTCCGAGAGAAAACGTTTGGAGCGATTGGAAAAATCCGTCGAGAAGTTATGGATTGGTATTCAAAAATTTCTCGAACAAAGTCAAGGACGGCGTCAACGCCATCACAAAAGCCGAAGGGACCGCCGCCCATCACCGCCAACGCCACCGCCGCCATCACCGCCGCCGTTGCCGAGCCTATCGCCAGAGGGAGAGGAAGAGGACGACGATGATTTTTTCGAAGAGCCCCAATTTTTTGTGAGTTCTCCGAAAGAAGAAGAATCGGATTCAACTGAGATAAAGTGGGACGACGAGCCGAAAGAAGAATTATCGGATTCACTTGAGGTAATTTGGGACGAAGACGAGGAATTAACTAAGGAAGAGAACGAAGAACTGCAGTGGATATTAGAAGAGTCCCGCGATATTCAAAAGAAAGGAGACGAACAAGATTTGGTGACTGTGAATGAGCCCGGATCTGTAAAGATGACCGAGAAAAATAAAAGCATGATATTGATTGTGAAGGAGATGAAATTTGAAAAGACAATTGAGAAGGTTGATTTGTCGGGAAAAAGATTGAATATTTCCACTAAAGTAGCCTTTGGAATTTCATTGGATCAACATGAGCAATGTGTTAAAAACCTTGGTCGTTCATCGTGTTTTTCGAAGTCGGAGTCAATCGGGAAGCAAGTCGATGAAGTCAAATATAGGTGGAAACGCAAAGGAGAGGGACCAAATTGACACGAACCTTGAGGACAAGGTTCATTTCAAGAGGGGTGGTTTGATACGATATATTATTTAATATACCGTTTAATTATTAGTTAGTTAGTATTATTATTATTATTATTTAATTAGAATAGTTTGTTAGGTTTATATATGGTCGTGAGTTAGTGTTAGGAGAAATATTAAGTATTTTATTAGTTTAGGTAATTATCTTTCCTAGTTAGATTAGGATTTTAGGGTTTTATTCTCTTTAAATAGACGTCTTGTGCTAGGGTTTTATTATGAAGAGAAATAATAAAGAAGAGTTTTCTTACGTTTAGTAAAGAAATCTTATGATACTCGAGAGATCGCATCAATTGGTATCAGAGCGAAGTTGCAATTAACACCAACGCTTCGTTAGCAAGGCAGCGATTACATCAAAGCTACGCTGGAGCAAAGTTGAGATCATATCAAAACTTTGTGAAAATCATGATGTCAGAAACAAAACGGTTGGAGCAATTGGAGAAATCCGTAGAGAAGTTACGGATTAATTTTCATAAATTGCTCGAACAAAGTCAAGGACGACGTCAACACCATCACAAAAGTCGAAGGGACCGCTGCCGAAGGGACCGCTGCCCGCCATCGCCACCACCGCCGCTGCCGAGCCTATCGTCGGAGGGAGAGGAAGAGGACGACGATGACTTTTTCGAAGAGCCCGAAATTTTTTTGAGTTCGCCCAAAGAAGAAGAATCGAATTCCACTGAGATAAAGTGGGACGAAGAGCCGAAAGAAGAAGAATCGGAGTCAATTGAGATAAAGTGGGACGAAGACGAGAAATTAATCGGTGATGAAAACGAAGAATTGCATGGAATTTTGAAAGAATTCCATAGCTTTAAGGAAGATCCGATTTTAAGTGTGGAGATTGTGGTACCCGAGAAATCCGACAATATTTCAGTAATTAGTATGAAAAGAGATAAAGGTGAAGATGATGTTGCAATTATCCACGGGATGGGGAATCGTGACATTACAAATAATCTAAATTCAATTGTGTCCCACAGAGATTGTGAAGTTTTTCCAAAGATCCTCATTGTTAATGGTATTCTGCAAAATAGTAGTAATTTGCTTGCAAACTTGAAGGTGGAGGAGATGAAAGAGATACTCATTTATAATGAAGTGGTCGAAAAACTATTTTACACTTGTCTTGTCAGCAGTGTTCATATCAAATCAATTCGGAAGAAATTCGATGGCGTCAAGCATAGATGGAAACACAGAAAAAAAGAGACGATTATTAGGCAGAACCTTGAGGACAAGGTTCATTTCAAGAGGGGTGGTTTGATAAGACATATTATTTATTATATTATTTAGTTAATTGTTTAGTTAATATTTTATTATTAATTAATTAGATTAGTATATTTATGATAATATATGGCCGTGAGTTTTGTATTTAGGAGATTATTCAGTATTTTATTAGTTTAGGTAATTATGTTTTCTAGTTAGATTAGGATTCTAGGGTTTTCTTATATTTAAATAGTCGTCTTGTGCCAGGGTTTTATTATGCAGAGAAATAATAAAGAAGAGTTTTCTTACGTTTAGTAAAGAAATCTTATGATACTCGAGAGATCGCATCACCTCATTGTTTCTTTTATAACTGCTTCCAAATATTTCAATTTTGGAATGTGAAGCGCTTCAACAATGTCGTTCAATCCCACTACTTCCGATAATTCTTTCTGCGCCCTGCTCATTGCATCCGGGTTATTCATAAGTTCGGCCATTGCCCATTCAAGTGTTATAGCCGTAGTGTCGGTTCCTCCTGTCACTGTATCCTAAAATTCGACAAAGCAAATCGTAAGAATGAGGTAAAAAAATTAGCAAATAAACCCCTGTATTTATTAGTCAAAGACGAAAACCCCTCTCGTCGCAAATCGTGTGTCCATGGTTCGCCGGAACGGAACAGTGCATTGTCGCGGACACTGCCGTTCCAGTTCCATTGCAACGTCGCGGCTGCGTCGCGGCCGCAACGGACACATTTTAATTAAATTGTTAAAAAAATATAATATATTTCAAATATGTTTTTAACAACAATATTACAAATTTACAATTCAATAATATGCAAAATATTATTACAAATTAAAAAATAAATATTACAAAGAATATTATGAAAATAAAAGCAATATTAATACCAAGTAGAACACAAAGCTAAAATTGTGTAGGATATAATTGAAGTGTAGGATATAATTGAAGAGTGAGGTCAAAGATCTGTGATTCAAGGGAATCTTCATTATCTAATGTGGCCACCACCATCATATAATTTATTTATTTTTTCATTTATGTTTTTTTCCCTAAATTTTTTTAGTTAAATTTGTTTTTTTTTTCCTTTCCAAATTCTTTTTCACTGTTCCGGCACCGTTCCGGTGCCGTTCCGGCCGCGTCGGGGCCGTTCTGTGGCTCCGTCTCGCCCATCCCACCGATTTCTCGGCGTTCCGACGAGTCACGGTGCAACTACCGTTCTGGTTACGGATTCCGGAACGGCGACGCCGTTCCGGCGAACCATGCGTGTGTCTCACGTGCGGTTTCTGCGATTTTTCTTCCTTTTGTTGCAGGAATGACAAAATTGCTACCATCTTCTTTTTTTTTTTCTTTTTTTTTTCTTTTGTTTTAATAAGTAATAAATTACAAAAAAAAATATATTTAATATTCTCAAACAAACCACCACCGTTTCCCACCATCGTCCACGGCAAGGGACACCAAACAGCCACCGCTTTGTGCCGCAATATATATACCACTCTCTCATGACATAATTGGGTTTGTGGGGCGCCAAACATCTCTCCTCTTCGTCAATTTTTCTCAACTCTACCTGCAGACTCACTTCTGAGTTCCGAAAAAGGTCACGAGGAGCTGGCCGCTGTAGGCGACGGCGGAGAGGAGGTAATTCTGGTGAAAGTGGGAGGTGGAATGGGAGGCTGCAGCGAGGTGAAGTTGGCGGTGGACGGGTGTCTGCGGCAAGAAGAGTGGAGGAGACATGTTGTTGGGAATTTTATAGAGTAAAATAAAATTATTTTTTGAATGAAAATAAAAAAATATTTTTAGGCACCTATTTGATCAAATAGGTGTGACAATATGTAGAGGTGTGGCCACACCTCTTCACTTGTTTAATTTTCTAAAGGTTGTGTTCATTAATCACAACCATTGGAAACTTATAAATAGAAACTCCACATGTTTAATTTAAAACAACATAAAAATCAATTCAATTCTAGAATTTTGTTCTATGGATTCTTCCTTCTTTAGCCCGGAAATATTCTTCGTAGAATATG